AACATATTGATAACTTATGCTTAAGATATTAACAACACATACAAGATATTGTCAATTTGTACTACATACAATATATTGACAACTATCCATAGCATATTGCCAACTTAGGCTTCATCTATTAACAACACATATAAGATATTATCAACTTGGCACTATACACAGCATATTGACAACTATGCATAGCATATTGATAACTTATACTTTAGCTATTAACAATACATCTTACTATCTCATAACAGACTTATCAGTTCAACTAAGTAATACTAGATTCTTGAATATACTATTACTAATACAAGGCCAGTGACAACCTATTATAGATGTACTGATCAAGAGAGAGAGGGAGAGAGAAACCACCATGACTAATATACTCATAAGGAGAAAAAGAGACAACCCAATTCTACCAATAAATAATAAAATACTAGATTAAATGATTAACAGGGAGTACATGCAAACCAATATCATCATTTACCTAGTTCCTTGAGGTCATGCTATCAGATTCTTTAAAGCTCAAAGCTGAGTGCAAGAAGGTTTGAACGTCGGCCTTCTTCTTTCACAAACTCCTAACCACCTTAAACTAAAGATGATCGCAAGAATGTGTTCACCTTTTAGTGATAAGATGATCCTACCACAACTCATTTAAAAGACGATCGCGAGATATACCCTTAGCTACTCTTGCCTCCATCACACCCTCTTTTCTCTTTCCTTTGTTTTCCCCCTTTTAATCATCTAAGGGTAAATGAGTCATTTTAGTTCCAAAATTATTCACCCCTAAGAACTAAGAGACTTTAAAATAATTTTTTTTATTCGTGGGATCTGGTTGTATTTAAGTCTCTTTTATAGGACCCCATTATAATTTTCTTTTAAAAAAAAAAAAACAAAGTTTGAAGCATAGGCTCCTATTTAAAAGCAAGTATATGGAATACAAAGATGGATTGATTAACTTAAATTAAAGCCAAAAAAAAATCAAAATTGGTCCTTGAGAAATGACTCTTATTTTTTGTTTTTGAATTTTGTAGTGCTGCTAGATCAATCATAAATATGGGTGAAAATAGGTTAGGCTGAGTTAAATTTTAATCAAATAGGCCTGATCTTGTAAAGTCAGTCAGAGGCTTGAGCCTAATTTGAAGCCTGTATCAGACTTTTCTCATGGCTCAAGTTTGACCTACATAAAGCCTGGCCTGTAAGCTATTTAAAAGTAAGTATTTTAAATAAGCTCGCATTTTAGTTTTAAATATCTCAAATATACTTTAAAACTATTAGCATATAATATATAATTTGATTTATTAATTATAATAGGTAATAATTAAAATGACCTACCAACTACAATACAATATAATAATAAAGTGATGACATTAAAATTAATATATAAATATAATCAAATTGAAAACATAACTAGAAATAAAAAAGCATAGATTGATTAAAAATTAAATAATAAAATTGATGTGTGTGATATATCATATCATATATATATATATACATATGAAAATAGGCTAATTTGTTGAGTTCATATGTTAGGTCTTAAGAAAATAGATTTAACTTATTTAATTAAATAAATTTAATTAAAAGTTTAAACTTAACTTAAATTTATTTAATAAATAAGTTGAGTTGAGCTTAAAGTAGACATAATGAAGACCTTTGACAGGAACTTGATTTATTTTTACCTTTAACTATAAGTTCGTAGCCACGGAAAATTAGCATATGAAACCAGATCCGCATGTGCTGCCCCTACATCCTGTGGAAGTTTGATTTTATAATTTCCACGTGGAAACATCCATAGTTTTCTGCTCTTCTTCGGCTTTTTGAACTTTCCTTGAGAGGATTGAGAAATTTCTTGGAAACAAAGATCTTTGTCTCCTTGAATTTCTGCTTGTCCTGGTTGACAATACTTAAACTCAACGTGAATATCTTTCATTTTATTATACTTCCTCTGTATAAAAATATAAAATATTTTTTAAAGAATTAAATGTTAAAAAATATAAGATATTTTTAATTTTTTTGAGGTATAATCATTATCTTTTTTTAAAAATACCCCTATTGATAATTGACTTTATATTTATTGTACAGTGTTTAATAGGAATAAATATAAAAAGATATGATTAGTTTAAAAGTAGGTAACTACTTTATTAGGGGATGAGATTCGATTAAAAATGTCTTATATTTTTAAACAGAGAGTGTGTGATATAACACTTGGGGTGATTTTTTTTAACATGTAAAACAAAAACATATAGTTCAACTCTTTTAAACAAAGAAAACCATGTGTTGATAGCAAACCATGCATTGCATAATTTAAATTCCAGCTACTAAGAATTTAAATTATAATTTGTAATATAATGAGACCAAATTCTGCCATTGATACAAGAATTTTATTAATTGGCGATACTTGTAAATATCTCTATAATAAGTGTTATGACCCCCATTAGTTATTGAAATTTAAACCATCTAAACTTTGTTTATTCCAAAAAAAAAAAAAAAGCCATGGCAGGCGTATTTGCATTCTTGCTCTGTTTGTGTGTCAAAGAGCAGGTACATTACAGACAAGCTAATAATTCCTTGGTTCCTAGGAATTTTTTTAGAAATTTTTTAGAATTTTACTTGTAAGAAAATGTAAAAATAAGTGTTGGCTCCCCCATATTTAAGCAGTTTTTGATGTATGTCCCCTTGTATTGGTTTCTGGTTTCGTCCCTGATCGCATGGAAGATGCTTCCTCTGTATTATAAAAACAGGTTAATATTTCAATGATCTAAGCCATTTCAGCGGCATCTAAAATACTGACAAGTGGTTTGCCTGAGACAAAATTAAAAAGTATGCTCATTGAATAGCTAGTTACGGTCCCCAACGTTTTGAAAGTGAATTCATAGTTCTTTAACTCGGTGGAAACATTAAACAAAAAAAAAAAAACAAATATTCCATTAGTCTTATACTTACATGAGAATGAGAGATTATTTGTTTTGATTTTATTTATTTAATAACTCAATAATTTTTGTGTTCATTTTTATCCTTTTATTTCTATTGACTATTGAAAAAGTTATTAAATACTGGATTATTTTATTTTTAAAATATGTATATTTAATAGAATAAAAGTAAATATAATTAATAAAATTTAGATTTTTTTTTAGTTCTAACAAGACATGAGAGTGATTTAAAAATATAAAAAGAATAAGTAGTTAAAAAGGGTGGGTGGGGTGTTGTGAAGTTTGCCTTGATTGCTTTCAAGTTTGGATTTAATAATGATTTTGCCTGATGTCACATGTTTTGAACAATTTGGGTTATGAACAGAGTTTAATTTTTATGACATTCAACGGTTCAGGTAGAATAACTGAATTTTAAAACCAATGGTCAGAGTAGTCCGTATGATGTCGTGGCTGATGTTGCTTCCTTAAGGTGCAAGAAATTGAGAAAACTGCATTTCAATTTAAAAATTGCAAAATTTTTTCAGATAAATTATCTTTAAACATGTACTTCCTTCAATAAAAAATATTTTAAAAAATTATATATTAAAAATATAAGATATTTTTAATTTTTTTAAGTGTAATTATTATCTTTTTTTTAAAAGTATCCTTATTAATAGTGACTTTATATTTATCATGGAATATTTAATAGGAGTAAATATAAAAAGATAGAGTTAATTTAAAAATAAGTAATTACTTTATTTAGAGGTGAAACTCAATTAAAAATATCTTATATTTTTAAATGGAAGGAGTATCTATTGTCTAAAATAAAATTATTTGCTTATAATTGCTGTTCTATCCATAGTTTCAATTCAATATCTAATATATAATTTATAATAATTTCATACATGTTGAGAAAAATTATTTTTATTATCCATCTTAAAAAAAAATTCAACTATTTCAGATTTTACCTTTATTTACTGCATTAATGATAGAGTTCTCAAAATACACCATGTAGCTTATATTATATATGAGACAAGGGTAAAATAATGTAGTTTTATATTAAGGTTAAATGATAATTTAACTCTTGAATTATAGGTTTAAGAATATTTGAGACATTCAATTTATTTTTAGTATAAAGTTTCACTTCAATTTTTAAAAATAATACAATATTTTTCTGTCATAAACAAAATAATTAACTTTGACTATTAGTTATTGATATAAAAATATTTTAAAAATTAAAGAAAATGACAAAGAATATTTTGTTAGTTATTTTTGGATTATTGTTTGCCATTTTTGAGTTATTTTCTATACTTTTTAGACTTTTTTATTAACTAATTATTAAAATTAACTTTAAATAATCATAACGATGATATTACATCATTTTTTAAAATTGAAAAAAAATTGCACAAATAAAAAATTTTAAGGTCTCGAAAGTTCCAAGATCTATAATTTTGAGGTTAAATTACTCTTTAACTCTTTATATTTTGTAGCTTGCGAAGAATATGGTTATTATAAATATATCATATATTATATACTCTTTTAATTAAAAAATATAAAGTAATTTTTTAAAAGCTATATGTGAAAAAATTTTAAAGCATTTATAATTTTTTAATGTATAATTAGTAAGTTTTTTTAAAAATATTTTTAATAAATAAACCATTTAACCATTTGCTTTTAAATGAGACGTTGGTTTAAATAAAAATAAATGTAAAAAATAATATTAATTTAAATATAATTAATTAACTTATTAAAAGTATAATTTAATTAAGGATAACTTATATTTTTAAACGAAAAAATTGAATTAAAATTCTACTGGCATTAGCCATTGAGTAGGCCAGAAAGACAATGACGTGGCTCGATATTTAACTGCTCGTATTTAAGAGAAGCCAAGGCCAAACATGTCCACATCAACATCCTAGTCAGCAGTAAAGCCGCGCTCAAGGATTTGTTTGTAAGGCGCAAAAGCGCGTGCAAATTGTCAAGGTTTTTTTTTTTTTAAAAAAAAAAAGCCAAAAACGTTTTCAATTAGTTAATTCAATTCTCACAAAAGCATAGTTATTAGTGAAGACTTGGAGAGTACGATATATAAAACCCACACCACACCACGGCTGCCTCAACTAAAGTAAACGAGGAGAAAAGGTTCTTCTTCTTTGTCTTCAACGACATGAATTTGCAGAGCAGTTTTCCCCTGCTTTTGCAACAATACACAGCGCTTTTGAAGAAGAATTTCTTGCTCTCATGGCGGAACAGGAAGGCTTCGTTCCTTCAACTCCTCTCTCCTCTCTTCTTCTTGTTTCTTATATTCGCCATTGACAGGGCCATTCAGGCTCGCTACTCCTCGTCCACGGTTAACGAGAGCGTCACCGATCCTGACCCGTTGCTCTCGCCTCCGATTACTCCCTGTGAGGAAAAGTTCTTCGTTAAGCTTCCTTGCTATGATTTCGCTTGGAGCGGAAATGGGAATCCCAAATTTCAGACCATTGTTGGTCGTATCATGGCTAACAATCCTGGCCGGCCCATCCCCCCCGCTAAGGTACGAATTACGAATGATTTCTTCTTTTAATTTTCGCTTTGATTTTTGGTATTCCTGTGAAAGTTGGCTCTATTTAGGCTTAATTTGATATTTTTAATGATATTTGTTTTCGCAAGTGATATCCTGTCTGAAAGCACGTCTTGCGAGACACCTGATTCTGTCGGTCGCAAACAAAAGGAGAATTGAATTCATTTAACCATTCACTTTCCCTTTGCGTAGGTTATATCCTTTAGCAATGGGGCTGAAGTGGATGACTGGCTTTTCAAGAATCCTTTGCGTTGTCCAGGTGCTCTGCATTTCACCGAAAAAAATGCGACTGTCATTGGCTATGGTGTGCAGACAAATTCAACCTTTATACAAAAGCGAGGGCACTATGAAGACCCCACTTTTGCTTTTCAACTCCCACTTCAGCTTGCTGCGGAGCGTGAAATTGCTAGATACCTGATTGGAGGTATAAATTAATATTCATTGTTATTGTTCTTAGGATCAATCACCAATCTTTCTTGAATGAATGATAATCTAAAACATTTGTGTTCTATCTGACGAGTTGATAAAAATCAGACCCATCCTTCAGCTGGAGCTTTTCTTTCAAAGAATTTGCACACCCTGCCATAGAATATTTCTCAACAGTGGGTTCAATAGGTCCAGCATTTTTCCTTGCAATCGCCATGTTTAACTTTGTTCTTCAGATGGGCTCTCTGGTGACGGAAAAAGAAAATAAACTTCGTCAGGTATAGACATACCAACACTTCAAGTTTATCTCCGTTTGAAGGAGACATGTTTTTCTAACCAGAACTGTCGTTATATTCATCCTTTTATTGGCTCAGGCAATGATGATGATGGGCCTCTATGACTCCGCTTATTGGTTATCCTGGATTACCTGGGAGGCAGTTATTACACTTATATCGTCCCTTCTCATTGTTCTTTTCGGAATGATGTTTCAATTTGACGTTTTCTTGAAAAACAGTTTCGCGGTCATGTTTTTTCTGTTCTTCCTTTTTGAACTCAGCATGGTAAGAATTTTTCCTGGAATTCTCTAATTCACCATTTGAGTGTCTGTTAATTCATTGTTATTTCTGTGTTATATTGTGGATGCTTTCCTTTGTGTTTTTGAGGTACAATAATGTCATCCTTCTTTACTTTCGATTCTAGACAGGATTTGCCTTCATGCTATCTTCTTTCATTCGTAAATCATCTTCAGCCACAACAATGGGATTCTCCATATTTATTATTGGGTTTTTGACTCAGGCAAGGGTCTTTCTTAACATTCTAGATAAGGATTATTGACAGGATGGAATGAAAGACACTCATCTTCTTTTTGTTTATTATTGTTCTATATGCAGATTGTTGTACAAGCAGGATATCCATATGATAATGACACTTCCCAGGCTTTCCGAATCGTCTGGTCATTTTTCCCACCAAATCCGTTTGCTCAAGGTCTAAACGTGCTTGCAAAAGCAACTTCCACTCCTGAAGACGATGGTGTTAGATGGAGTAAACGGGGAAAATGTGCTCCAAACGATGAGGATTGTTTCATAACAATTGTATGCATTAATTTGACCTCTATGTTCCAGCACCTGAAATATTGCTTCAAAAAATTAGCTATTCCCATTTGGTTTCTATGGTTCTTCATTTGTCCTGTTTCACTCGTGTCATTTCCTTAACAGTTACTGTTATTTCCTTTCATTGACAGAATGATATTTATATGTGGCTGTTGGGTACATTCTTTCTGTGGTTTATTCTGGCTATCTACTTTGATAACATAATTCCAAATGCATCTGGTGTGAGGAAATCAGTCTTCTACTTTCTAAACCCCAGATATTGGATGGGAAAAGGAGGAGATAAAGTGAGAGGTGATAGAACTTGAAATTTTGCTGGTTCTATTTATTTCTTTCTTCCCAGCTTTTTTTTTTTTTGACTAATCTAGTACTCCTTTTTCCATTTATGTGTAGAGGGCGGGGTTTGTAGTTGTGTAGGTTCAGTCCCGCCACAAGAGTATATCACACCAGATGATGAAGATGTCCTTGAAGAGGAAAACATTGTAAAGCAGCAAGCAGCAGAAGGTATGGTAGACCCAAATGTCGCTGTCCAGATACGTGGCCTTGCAAAGACATATCCTGGTGCATTGAACATTGGTTGCTGCTGTAAATGCAAAAGAACTGCTTCTTACGATGCTGTTAAGGTGAAGGATTTACTTTTAACATTTTATTCTGCCATATTTGGGCACTCTAGTAGAAATACCTTTCCCTTCCTCTGTTTTTGTGCAATGATTTTAATTTTGCATGTGGTTTCTTTCAATCAGTCACTCCAATATTTCAGTACTCTTAGATGGTTTTGTTCTATTCTTCTTCTTTTTAAATAAAAAAGGGAGTATGAGGGAGGAGTGGAATAAGTATGGCGGGATGGAAATATTATTTATATGGACTAATGTCAGTTTATGATTTGTACTGTCAAGTTAGGTTTGGGTTTACTCCACTTCGGTTAGATAGACTTCGAATTTATTGTGGGGCGCTTGGGGTTATTATTGAGTCCTGTTCTCTGATTTCTCTCTTTCTTTACAATTCTCCCCCCATTTTTTGTGCACTCTCCCAAATTTACCTCTCTTCCCCTTCCTATTCTGCTTGTTCTGCACGAACTATCCTTATCTTATACACACAATAGGAACATGCAAGAGTATTCTCACTTGAGTTCTTTTCTGGATCACAGTTAATAATATGCCTTTTTCCCTTTCCCCCCTCTGTAGTGATCTTTTTACTTTTACTTTCTATTTTAATTTCACAATGTCACATTTTCCAATGCATATGAAGATTGTAATTGATTTGTCGATGAGTGTTACCAATGTTATGATGGCAATGCTTTGCCAATTATGATTGCAATCTGCAAATTACTTTCAGGGCTTATGGGTCAATTTTGCAAAGGACCAGTTGTTTTGTCTTCTGGGACCCAATGGAGCTGGGAAAACTACTGTTATTAATTGTTTGACTGGGATAACTCCAGCCACTGATGGAGATGGTGATATTATCTCTCTCTCTCTCTGTGTCTCTCTCTCTCACATACCATATTTTGATCATTGATCAACGTTGTTAAATAGTTAACAAGACTTTATTGACACTCTCAATTTCCTACTTAACAGCATTGATATATGGACATTCCATAAGAAGCTCCACCGGCATGTCAAATATTCAAAAGCTTATAGGCGTATGTCCCCAGGTGCTTGCATCTCTCTTATTATCTCTCTCTTTGTATCTCTATGTGTTCGTTGCATGCAGGCATGCTTGAAATTATACCACATTTCTTGGAACGACATTCAAGAAACATGATATGATTTTCAACTGCAATGACTTTTCCATCTCATTGAAAGTCTGGTTGATCCTTTATTGGGTTTTGCCATTCACAGTTTGATATCTTATGGGATGCATTGTCTGGTCAAGAGCACCTCCATCTCTTTGCTAGCATTAAGGGCCTTCCCCCAACTTCTATCAAATCAGTATGTTCCTTTTATCCTGTACTTATTTCATACTGAAGATGTTTTTACTTTGCCTCACCTGAATCTATTTGCAAAGGTAGCGCATAGAGTATAAACAATAACAGGATTTGGTTCTCCTTCCTTTTAATTCAAGTTATTCTGAAAAATATAGATTACTCAGGAGTCATTAGCAGAAGTGAGACTAATAGAGTCAGCCAAAGTGAGAGCTGGAAGTTACAGTGGGGGGATGAAACGCCGTCTTAGTGTGGCCATATCCCTGATTGGTGATCCTAAGCTAGTCATTATGGATGAACCGGTATGCATGCTAGATATTTCCTGCCAGTTTTAGAAGCTCTACCGACTTGTTTTTTAGATTTTTCATTTGATTTAATGTTTAGACAACTGGCATGGATCCAATAACAAGGAGGCATGTGTGGGACATAATTGAAAATGCAAAACGGGGGCGTGCTATTGTCCTTACAACACACTCTATGGAAGAGGCAGACATTCTAAGTGACCGCATTGGAATCATGGCGAAAGGACGACTTCGCTGCATTGGCACGTCAATCCGGTTGAAATCACGCTTTGGTACTGGTTTTATAGCTAACATCAGCTTCCATGGAAACAATTTTGAACAAAGTCCTGCCAATAGAGATGCAACTTCTACAATAAATCATGAGACAGTGAAGCAATTCTTTAAGAATGTAAGTTGAATAACTATGATAATTAATTATATATTTGACCTGTGAGGGATTGATCTTTGACCCTTGAAATAATTTGACAGAATTTAGATGTGATACCAAAGGAAGAGAACAGTGCCTACTTAACTTATGTGATTCCTCATGATAGAGAGGGTCTCTTGATGGTAAGCTTCCTTGTTGTGGATTTTATTCCTGTTACCTTTTAATCCGTTTTTTCACCAAGGGTTGAATCTAACTGTTGGTCAATTACTGATCAAAACGGGAACATGTTTCTTTGTAGTTCTCTTGTTTATGCCAGTGCACTCGCTTGGGTCGTGATGACCTTTTTTTAGTCTGCTTTAAACTATCGACTGTGTGATTATTCCTTTCCTCAGTGGCAATTAGTGATGACAACTTACTTGATAGGGAAGGCAATTTATGGTGTGTTATATGAAGATTCCTATGATAAGGTTAAGAATAACTCCTGTACTGACAATTCTTGATAGACATTAAATACGTGTCTTTATGCCAAATCAATTTGATATGGCATCATTTTTGTTATTAAAAAAACATGTAACATCAATCTGAAGGAGGCCAAGGTTGCCTTACATGCAATGAGAATTGAGAAATGAGAAGAAACACCCCGTGAGTCATAAGCCATAACACAATGTTTCTGGATAAGTTGTTTCGTAAAATATGTGTTCCATTTTTTAAGGGACTTATTTTCCTATTGCTTCTCAAACAGAAATTTTTTGAGGAACTCCAAGATAGAGAAGAAGAATTTGGCATATCTGACATCCAGCTTGGTCTTGCAACTCTTGAAGAGGTTTTCTTGAATATTGCAAGACAAGCAGAGCTAGAAAGTGCTGCAGCTGAAGGGAGCTTGGTAACTCTGACTTTGACTTCTGGTGAATCTGTTAAGGTGAGTGCCACTGTATTCTGTTGCTGTAAAGTTTGGCTTCATGAGAGCTGTACTTTTCTACCCTTAGATTTCTATGTTGATCTAGATTGTGGAAGTTTGAGTAGGATTTTTTTGAAGTGAAAAGAGAGAGAGAATGAGGAGTGAAACTGATCTCTACGAACCTTTCAAAGACAAAAGGGATCACTATCTCTCTGTCTCTCGCTTTCTCTCTCTTCTTGCTTCAACTGAATGACAGGTCAGAAGATCTGGGCTGTTTAACGTTTTTATCGGATAATTAGTGCACATCTCTAGGCACAAAAGTTTGAGGATAAAAAAATCAACCTCTCAAGTGGTCCGGCCTCCATGTTTTGCGCTAAAGCTTAAATAACTTATTGAGTTACAGCTGTCACTCCTGAATCCTGATCCTAACCTGCTGACCTTTAATGATAATCATTCAGATACCTGTGGGAGCAAGGTTTGTGGGGATTCCAGGGACTGAATCAGCTGAAAACCCCAGAGGGATTATGGTGGAAGTATATTGGGAGCAAGATGATACTGGTTCCCTTTGCATTGCTGGACACTCACGGGAAATTCCAGTACCTCCTAGTGTTGAACTATCTGCTTCTCCAGCCTTAACAAGACGTCGAAGTCGCCGGCGGTCAGAGCCAGTGGAGGGGATTGTGATTGACCCCAGTCAAGTTAGTACCGTCAATTTCCAGTGATGCTGGTGATCCTCAGAGACTCTCATAAACGTGTGTTAATATTATAGTTCTTTTGTACATATGATATTGGCCTTCTCGGCTTGAATTTTGCTTTTTGCAGTATAGCAAATTTATTAAAAATCACAGGTTTATTGTTGTTGTTCAAACATTGGTCTTGTACTGGCCTTTTGTTCACATGAAAAATAAAGTTATGTTTATGCAATTGTTGTGAACCTAACAATGCACAACTTAACCCGCAAACTAGAAATACAACTAAAGAATGTCAAGTCATGAACAATTTTAAGTACAGGGCTAGTGTAAGATGCACAATTGTGAAGCTGTTCTTGTTCGTTTATGGTGCAGAGTGAACGTAAAACGATGAGTACTTCACTCAATGTTTGTCTTATTATTAGCCCATTTATTCATCAACTTCACCCTAATGCTATCACACATTCCAATAACAAGCAGGGGGGAAAAAAACTGACTATCCAGGCATTAAAGCTTTCACTAATGTCGTTGTCTACCATTCACCTTGACACCTAAATGTGAAATGAGCCCTAACCCAATTTGGTACAGCATAACTTACTAAAGCTTCAGTAGCTTCCTTATTAAAACCTCCAATCACCTTCAAGTTGTCATGAAATTGCTTTTCATGTGCATTCCAAGCATATAAGAAGAACTTTTTCTTCAGTACGGGTCCCCTCCACCTCTTGCTCCAATTAGCAAAATGTATCTGGCACATAACCTATGCTCAACGTGGGGAAAAACTTGTGTCACTCTTTCTTGCAATCCGTATCAGTGAAGAAGCATTACAAATAGATCTTATAAATTTAAAAAATAACCATTACATACATAAATTAAATTTTAAATAAATAACCATCAAGAAAAAGAACCATAAATACAAATAACTTCATCTTTTGCATTTCAGACATAATATTTAAATTTGAACCATCTCCAAAGTCTAGTGACTTATGCAAACATTAGAAGTTGATGATATTCTCTTTTTGTGTCAACCCAATGGTGATAGAATAAAGAGACTCATTTGCCCTACTCCTACTGGTGAAAGTATTAAGCCTTTTGCATTTCCCCTAAAAAAATGTACCATCAAGGCTAATAACTGGCCTACAACCTACTTTTCATCCAACTTGTCCAACAATTACAAACATTAAATAATGGGAAATCACTAGAAATTAAGGAAAAATTATATGAAAAATTAAATAAATTACCTTAGATGCATTCCAACATATATATAATTTACTAAAAACCTTCTTACCTTCTTGAAGTGCATCTTTACTCATATCCATCTTCACATCAGTCCTTGGGTTTGAATGTCTAAATCCTTCACCGTAAGCTTCCAATTTCCAAAACTCATCTCAGTAGCTACCTTCCAACTCCTCCATGGTAATCTTTTTAGCGCTCTTCCACTTGTGTAAGATGACATTAACCTTCAAATCATGTTCTAATATCTTTTTCATGTTTGCAGCTTTGAATTGAGGGCACTCTTGTATTTTATCCTTGAACTACTCAGCTATCCATCTTGTAGAAGCTCTAAATTCTTAAGGACATTTAGACACCTATGTTCCATGCATAGGGTTCTTATTTGCAGTCTTAGATGTTTCCTGTCAGAGAATGCTTATATAAGAAAAAGGCATCCTTCTTGACATTTGGCCTTAACTCTTCTAGACTTAAACCTAATCATTCTCAAGTTAACCCCAACTCGTATGGTGTATGTATTCATTGCCTTCCTAAACTTTGCACTTTTGGGATAAGTCATACCAAGCATGAAACAAGCCCCACCATCCTTCATTACCTTCTTCCTTCTTACTTTCAAATTCTTCTTCACTCACACCTTCTTCTTTCCCTAATAGCTAGTAATAGTCATAGTCATTTCTATCTTCACTACTGCCATGCTCAATTTCAAACTTAGAGTCATCACTACTTTCATCTATATCCTCCGAGGAGTTTTGAACGCCAGAACCATAAAGGATTGTATCTGCCTCATTTTCCCTATCCACTACATCTCTCTTTAGACATATATTATCTTCAATATCTTCTGATGATTCGTACAAGGAGTTCACAACATTAGTTATCATTATCTCACCCATTACCCAATCAAGTTCTTTAACTATATTTTCCTCTTCATTCCCTGTTCCTATTAATAAGTGTATATTTTATAATTAAATAGGCATAGATTTTAGTCTGAATTTGATTATATTTATTAAGATTTTATATCTATTTAACTGATATTTATATATTTTTTTCCTCATCACTTAATTGTAAGATAAAAAAAATTAATACAAAATTCACTCATATCTTTTTATATTTATATTTTGCAGAGAAAAAGAATAAACCAAATAGAAGGAAAGAAGGAAAATATATATATATATATATATCTACACATATATTAGAGTCCTACATCGACAAGGAACAAAAGAAGAAGCCTCCACTTTAACTATAAATACTCCCTCGATCAAGAAGGAAGTCATCCAATCACTTATCTGAGCATCTCAAGAATTCTCTCTGAGATATTTGGAGCTCATAGAAGCATTCTGAAGGTTGAAAGTGAAATCATTAAGGAGTTTTACAAATTATAATTATTTCTTTTTTACTTCTTAATTTTCTCTGTGATCATTTTTTCCAGCAGTGTCTAGCTATAGACATTAAATACAGCGCTTGTTGGGAGGCAACCCAATTTTATTTTTATTTCCCATAAAATTTTATTTGATCACTAAGACCTCCTTTAAGATGAATTGCAGGATTACAATGCTTAAAAGGGAGCTTCTTAAATATTATCAAAGTCATATCAAAACAAATTAAATCAGGGAAGTTTCACTTCCTTTACCTTTTTTCTTTTCCGCAAACATTGAGGACAATGTGAAATTTAAGTGTGGGGGAGGAAATATCATGATAATTTTCTATTGCTTAGGCTGTTATAATTTCCTTAGCAATTTACATGCTATAATTGGCCTTAATTTTGAAAATTTTTAATTTTTTTTGAAACTTTTTGCTCTTTTATACTATTTTATTTAGCTATGTAATTACTGAGGGCAACTATGTGTTTCAAAAAGAATTTAAAGCCACCAATATCCTATAGGAGTTTATCAAAAATATACTTAATACATGAATTATCTGTCCTAATTATTTATGCCTATGCCTAGAAAGCTTTCACCTTGCAAAGTAGTTAAAAAGGAGAATGATCCTACGGAGAGAGAGAGAGAGAGAGAATTGCTGAGTAACCACTTCGTTGATGCCGACTAGGCCTAGTAATAGGGGACCTTCATCACTAATGTTGGCCTTCGCATCAAATAGCTTAGTAAGTATCAAGAGTGTGCCAATAAAGTTCCTAAAGTCTGAATAACCTGACCGTTGTATCACCAATATGAGGGTTCGTGTTAAAAGGACCTAAGGAGTATTTAAGAAGAAAGGCAATTCATGAATAGTTAAGGATGGTGATCCCATTACACTAACTCAAAAAAAAAAAAAACAGGTAAGATCTAAGGGTATAGACAAATTTATATTACAGATAAGTGCTTAATCAGAATTTAATTCACTCCTTGTGATGATACTAGTATAATTATTAACTTACTCTCTCACATTAAAGCTCTGTAGTTTGGTTATACAGTTAAGTTTTACTAGTATTTTGAGTAAAGTTCCTGTATTTGATATACTTATTTAAGGAATAAGGCTAAACGCAGAAGTATTTGCTTGAGGACAAGCAACAAGCTAAGTGTGGGGGAATTTTATAAGTACATATTTTATAATTAAATAGATATTGATTTTAGTTTGAATTTGATTATATTTATTAAGATTTCATGTCTATTTAATTGATATTTATATATTTTTTCCTCATCACTTAATTATAAGATAAAAAGAAATTTTAATACAAAATCCACTCATATCTTTTTATCTTTATAGTTTGCAAAGAAAAAAAATAAACCAAATAAAAAGAAAGAAATAAAAGAGAATATATATATATATATATATATTAGAGTCTCACATCGACAAGGAACAAAAGAAGGAGCCTTCACTTTAACTATAAATACTCCCTCCAAGAGGAAAGTCATTCAATTACTTATCTGAGCATCTTAAGAATTCTCTCTAAGATATTTGAAACTTATAGAAGCATTTTGAAGGCTGAAAATGAGATCATTGAGAAGTTTCACAAATTATAATTATTTCTTTTCTATTCCTTAATTTTTTCTGTGATCATTTTTCATGATTAAGGATTTTAGAATAGTGTTATTTAATTTTATTATGTGTTTCTAAATTAACCAGGGATAAGGATGTAGCCCAATTGAGGAGCTAGTTTTCTATTTCTTTTGTTTTAATTCTTTGCATTTATATTTATGAATATTTTTGCTTTTTTTAATTACATTTATTTTCTTTGTTCTTCATATTGATTTAATGATTGGCCATTATTTAATTAAATCTATGGATAATTTTGATGGATTGGGAGGTGATGAGAGAACCTAGATCTAGAGAAATAAACATAAATAACTAAGCTAGAGATAGTTCTAAAAATTTATGGTGACTTAAACTATAGCTTCATGATTTAATTAGTTGCTTGGGTATCGTGGGAACGAATTCAACACTAATTAAAAGGGGATTAATAATTTAGGAAAATATTAGGACACTTTAGGAATAGTTGTTACTACAATTGATTCGAGTCAACTCAAAGGATAAAAACTAGTAATCTATAGGGTGAATTCTAAATTCCAACGCTTCAAGTGATTATGTTTTCATCATCATTATTTTCTTTATTTATTTCTATTCTTTATATTCTTATCAAAATTATCCATTTTATCTATTTTTTTGAAATATTAATTATTTAAATTAGTAAAAGTGTAACTTCTCTGTGAGTTTGATATTTGAAATACTCTAAATAATTTATTACTGTAATCTCGTATCCTTACGAGAACGATCACCACTTTATTATTATTTTCATCATCAGTTTCATTAATGTTTGAAGTTTATCCTACCTACCTAAATAATTTACGATAATGTTTCATCCAAAAATTCATAGCATTTACTATCGTAGAGCATACCTCAAATAGCAAAAACCCATCATTGCCACCACCATCATTGGAGACATGCACTGTCACTATCTTTCATGTCATTATTGCCTCCATCATCACTAATCATCTCTTCCACATCACCATGGGACCTACCACTATCACTCTTATCGTCTGACATAGTTGTATAAAATACAAAGCGGATGAGGGC